TTAAATCTAGTTAAGATTTCTAATATGTCTCATTTTTAATGTGTTGCAGGCTTATTGTGTGATTTATTAAATTATTTTTAGACATTTTTACTTGTTTTAAGTGATTTTAGTCAGATGGTCTCATTATATTGGCAGATATTATTGCTTATTGTAGGAAATATGCTTGAAACAAACTAAATTATCTGCCAATATAGTAATTTTACTTAGAAAATCACTTAAAACAAGAAAAATGTGTAAAAAATAAGTTAATCTCAAAATTAGCATACAACAATCTAAACATGAGATTTATCTACTAGGATGCCATTTTTGCAGCGTATTCACTCCTTTGACAGAAACGGATGGAGGGAATTTGGACGTGCTAAGCTCCGCCTCCTGGGGTTAAGGTTCAGATCTGTTTACGGCGTCGGGGCCGTGTAAATGTTTATTTCGGTGTAAGTGTGGCTGTCTGAGCTGGTAGTCGGGGAATTTGGTGCCATTACTGGCGTTGCTATTGAAGCTGTGAGTCATAAGTTGATGAGTGAGTCGTTAAGACTAAACGATTCGTCCAGCCCAGGTTATCAGATTAAAAAGTGAATCAGAATCATCCTGACTGAGTCATCTCACAGTTCATATCTGTCTCAGCCATCAGCTCTTCACGGGGAAGTTCCCTTTAAACTTTGATCAGATCAGATCTTCACACTCAGCTGTGTGGGTGGGTGTGTGTGTGTGTGTGTGTGTGTGTGTGTGTGTGTGTGTGTGTGTAGTGAGGAAAAAGTATTCAGACACTTTATAAACATGAACAAAAAGTGTGTAGTAATGAAGTAAATACATACAAAATCGTCATTTGTAGGGCTCTTTCCTCTAAGAGGTGTCAGTCCAAAACACTGACCCCTAAATTTACACTTGTTAAAATTATACCTATTAATACTTAATAATACTTATTTTTTCAGTTTTTTTTGTATTTTTATGTCTTTTATAGAGTAGTCTCGATTTATTATGAATTTAATTTTTACATTTAAAATACATTTGAATACATTAAAATGTATTCAGAAAATGCTGTCCCACATTTTGTCACCATGAAACAAACAGTTTTAGTCTGTTGGCGGAACCTTAATTTAGCCACACCCCTGCATGTTAGATCAGGAGCTAACACTGCCTCCCTGTCCCTCATGGCCACATGGTGAGCAGTTAGATCCCATTGTTTTAAAGTAAAAGTGTCCCAAAGTCCTAAAATCAGTGTGGGACATCAAGAATTGTCACTACCGAAACACAGATTGTCAACTTTTTTGTGCTTTAATGAAAACTATGATGATTTAATGTGTGTACAGCTGTTTAAAGCTGTGCATGCTGGTCATGTACTGGCTGCGTATTTGAGTTCTGCTCAAAATGGGCTAAAATTGTCAGCACCGAAACAGTCACTGCTGAAACATTTGGTAACGTTTCGGTAGTGTTCTGATGGTTTGGGAATGTTCAAACATTTGTTTTATTAAAATAAGCAAATAAGCATGTTTTAATGAAAAATCTGCTGATTTTTGTGTGAGTACAGCTGTGTTTGCTAGCCATTTTTGAATTCTGCTCAAAATTAGATAGAATTGTCATTAAAGAAACAGTCATTACTGAAACATTTGGTAATGTTTCGGTAGTGTTATGACTGTTTTGTGTGTGTGCAGTGATGAGAAACAAGTATTCAGACAGTTTGTGCTCATAAATATGAACAAAAAAGTATGTATTCCTAATTAGGGGGGCACCATTAACAATACTAACTAATATATTGCACAAAAATGATGTCTTAGCAAGTAAACGCATCTTAAATATTCTCATAAATCTAATATTTCTCATTATGAGACTGTAGTAAGAACATTATAAGCATGTTGAACTTATTTCTAAACATTTTCTTACTGCACTCTTAAAAAGACGGTTCTTTAAGGGTTCTTCAGTAAAGACAGCGGCTCTATATAGATCCTGAAAGCTCATCAGAGCATATGTTTTTAACATTAGATTTCACTGATTGGGTTTATTTAGACACATAAGGTGAGATTAGTACAGATTTGTCTGCTGGGAAAACGCTGATTACACAGTGTGTGTGTGTGTGTGTGTGTGTGTGTGTGTGTGTGTGAATGCGATGGGGGGGTAAAGGTGTGAAATTGGCTCATTATGTGTTTGAATATTCCATCAACACCCTCCTGAGCTGCTCTGTTATAACTGCCCCCACTGCAACCACCTCCCCCTCCACACACACACACACACACATTCCTCCCTCCTACACACACTCTCAGGATCAGTAGGGAATCATGAATAACAATCTATTTTAAGCCCCGCCCACTTTGCCCCAATAGACCTGAACAGAAAGCTTACAACACATTGACACACACGCACACAGCTGAGAGTGTGTATGAGGCAGTGTGTGTGTGTGTGTGTGTGTGTGTGTGTGTGTGTGTGTGTGTGTGGTGGTAAAACGTGACTATTAGTGCCTCCATTTCAGGCCTTAAGCGCCAAGATGTGACTCTGTTGTCGTCCATTCTTTCGAAAGACGGTTCTTCAAGGGCTCTTCGGTTAAGGCAATGGTTCTAGTAGAACCATGAGCACTCAAAGAAGAGTGTGTGTTGGCACTAAGCTAACAGCAGTTCAGTGGTTTTGGCTGTTTGATCAAGACATCAAGTTTGTTTAAGACTTTAACACAGAGTTGAATTCAGCGCGTTTTAATGCCTTTTTAAAACTTAAAACTTCAACATAGCAAAAATAACACAACCACATAACAGCTTAGATCAAATCAAATTAAATCATACACAAAAATATCTAAATATATAAGAAAAAAGCAATACACACACACACAATAGTGCATTTCGTGACTAGGTGGTTGCTAAGTTGTTGCAAGGAGGTCTCCATTGTGTATGGGGTGTGTACTGAGTGTTTTTAGGAGGTTGCTAAGTGGTTGCAAGGTGTTGTTTAAAATGAATGGGGGTCTATCGGAGGAACAAGGGATGAAAAAACGACACATAGAGGAGTGCAGGTCAGTATGACTGTGGATGAGAGCTTAGGGGCCTGTCCTGAGTGAGTACATGACGTTTGGTGGCTCTCAGGCAAAGAAATAATAGGGCTAGTGTGGGGACGAAAAGAAATGGAAGTCTAGGGGGGACGAGGGATGGAAAAAAAAGACAAAGAGAGAGTTAATTTATCAATTGTTTTTTTGTGGACTACTTATGTGAGACACATAAAACGACACATAAAAGAGTGCGGGTCAGTATGACTGTGGAT